AATCTCTCGACTGTGCTGTTGTAGTGTGAAAGCCACCGGAGACAATATGTAACAAAGGGGTTTTACTGTGTTACAGTAAAACTTTATTTACAAAATAGGCTGCAGGCTGGATTTGGCTCCACAGGTCTTAGTTTACCCTGTGCCAAAAACAATGTTGCCTTGAAACACAGCTGACATTTTTACCTTTGTCAGGTATTCAGGGAAACAGTACATGAACCAAGGTCAAAAAATGTCCTCAGGGGAAGAGAAGCTATGCTAACCCATACAAACTAGCAAAGAAACAAAATTCAGGATGTCTTAAATTGCAATGTTTGTATAAAACCTTTAATATTTTCGTTATCTTGGTATACCTGTGAGTCAATATATATTTTTTTAATCTACTTCAAAACGATTCACCTTTTTAACCTTAGTCTTAACCTCATATATGTGAATTCACATTTGATGGTCAGTTATATTTTAATACAAATTAAAATAACTAACTTTAAAATATAAGGTATTAGTCATCATACCACCTAGAATCCTCTCTCACCACCGATGACACATGCTTTTCACTTTGAGAAACTGTATACATAATATGACAATTGCTGTAAGAAGCATGAACTCTGCAGCCTTATTTATTCAGAAAGCATAAATAGACTCTTCTTCAGAAATGGTTACGAATAGGGAAGTTTTTATATTTGATTTTGATATTGTGTAGTTTCAGGGTTCAGAGCTCACTCCTCTTCTCCTTACCTGTACATTTACTGTGGTCCCTTTACCTCTTTCATGGTGCAAACCTGCCCTATCTCACTTCCTTCATGCTTGTGCTGCGCCATGTCTGCAAAGAACCAAAGTGCACTCAAGGTACCTGGAACCAAAGGTCTTTATGGAGCCTGCGGGTGGGAGACGTGGTTCTGCCAGACCACAAGGCTGAAGGAGCCTGGACTTAGGCAACTCTTGCTTTTCTCCATGGTCTGTTTTTTGCTTATCTGTCTACCAACTGACTTCATCACTCTCGATTCAGTATCTTTTTTGTATATTTCTTGATATGTCTGGATTGCACTCCAACATGTTCTGCGTCAGGGCAACTCGTGATAATCCTATCTGCCCCCATAGCCAAGGACCTCAAATTCTCACTTTTTCATGTTAACTTCTCAAATAAAGACTGCCTGGCCTCGAGTGGATGAGATCCTTACCCCTCAAGCAAGTAGCCATGATTACAAGGAGGTCAGCTGGGACCCGTTAGAAGGGG